GCCTGCGCGTCCGGAGCCTGTGCTCCGCAGCGGGAGAGGCCACATTAGTGAGAGGCCCGCATACCGCAAAAAAAAAAAAAAAAAAAAAAAAAAAAAAAAAAAAAAAAAAAAATAGAGAGATTGGGATGGACACATACACACTACTATATATAAAATAGATAAATAATAAGAACGTACTGTGTAGCACAGGGAACCTATTCAATACTCTGTAATGATCTATATGGGAACAGAATCTAAAAAAGAGTGGAAGGGATTTCCCTGGTGGCACAATGGTTAAGAATCCTCCTGCCAATGCAGGGGACACGGGTTCCATCCCTGGTCCGGGAAGATCCCGCATGCCGCGGAGCAACTAAGCCCATGTGCCACAACTACTGAGCCCCCGTGCTGCAACTATTGAAGCCCGTGCGCCTAGAGCCCGTGCTCCGCAACAAGAGAAGCCACCGCAATGAGAAGCCCATGCACTGCAACGAAGACCCAATGCAGCCAAAAATAAAATAAATAAAAAAGAGTGGATATATGTATCTGTATAACTGACTCACTTTGCTGTACAGTAGAAACTAACACAACATTCTAAATCACCTACACTCCAATTTTAAAAAAAAAAGGAAAAAAAAGAATAAAAAGTTACAAGCAAAACCCACGACCACTCGGTTATAGAAGGCAGAGCAGGCTGAGACACCATTCAGACATCTAAACCTGTACCTGCCTCTCCTTAGCTGTGAGACCCGGGCCAAGCCCTTTCCCACCCTGGTCCTCAGTTTCCCCACCCAACCTTTCTTCAGTCCTTCGATATGCTTCCGCTGGCTTCAGGGCCTTTGCACGTGCTGCTCTCTCTGCTTGGAATGCTTGACCCCTACCCCCAGCCTCTTTCCCCTGTTCATACCTCTTCATCCTTCAGAGCTCAGGGTCAGCGCCTCCCCCAATGTCCCCAACCCAGTCAGACCCCACCTGGCGCTCTCCAGGTGCCAAGAACCCAGCTGCAATTTTTCATTGGTCTGTGAGGTTATAAGGGACCGCCTGTCTCTGCGCCAGACTGTGAACACCCCACAAGGGCGGCTCTCCTGTTCTCCACGTGTCCCCAGAGTCTCACCCAGGGCCTGGCATACAGTCAGTGCATATCAGTAGAATGAAAGAATGTGGAAGCAAGGCAGGTAGATGGATCGTCTCCAGGCTGCCCTCTCTCAGCTAGGGTCCACAAGTACCCACAGAAGAGCAGGAGGTGCAGGAAGATGCCGCAAGGCAATGGCAGCAGGAGGGGGCTGTGGGCACAGGGTGAGCACCCGGACACACCCAGGGCAGCTTGAGGATCCCAGCCAGGAAGGGATCACTGAGCTCGAAGGAATAGAATTGTGGGTTGTCTGGCATCAGACAGAGGTGCTTATGTTGAGCTGCAGCTGGACGCTGTATAAGGAGCTGTACTCATTTCTCCCAGAACGAAGAGGACAGAGCCTTGACGAAGCCATGTCCCTGACCCCAGGGCTGCACAGCCAGGCCACTATCCTGCAAACACTGAACTACTGAAAAGGGAGAGGAACCCTCTGCAGCTGGGGAAACTCACTTGAAATTCACATTTGCAGCTGCAGTCAGCTCCACTGTCTCAACAAGGCTTGGGAGAGGAGGGTCTCTTTTATGGGGGAATGGGAAAAAGGAACCAGAGTGAACAAGGTACAGGCTGATAAGAATGATGCTGAGGGCAGCAAGTCCCGTGGGCAGCCCTCCACATCTAGACAGCCTGGCTCAGCTGCCTCGCAACTCATACCTCATCGAATTCTCGCAGCAACTTCGTGAGCCAGGAATGATTGTCCCTATTTTACAGATAGGAAAACTGAGGCACAAAGATGCTCGAAGAGCTGCCCAAGGTGGGCAAGTGAGCCCACTGGAGAATTGGAATCTGAACCCACAGCTGTCAGGTTCCACAGCTCATACGCTCTTGGTTCCGCTGTGTTGCTTGAAATAAAATTAGAGTGAGCAAGGTGAGTCCTGTGCTGTCATCAGAGAAATTTTTATGTCCAGGAAGGGTTGGGGTTTGCCACCCGGGCAGGCAGGGTTGAATCAGAAGGTTCTCAAAGTCCAGACGGAGGCACGCTTTGGTCTCGGACAGGGGCCAGAGTTCACGGGACCACAGGGTAAATTATGCTGACACTGGTTGGAGATGCCTCCAAACCCCGGGTGTTTGGTGCTGGAAGGAACCCACAGAAATCATCCCATCTGTTTCCACCTTTTCCATGGGAGGAAACAGATCTCCCATGCTGGGAACGAGGGACAGCTCCCCAAGGTGGCTCTTGCCCATTCTGGAGCATTCCTAGCCACATCAGGAGCCCCTGATAAAAACAGTCCTTAATTCGCCCAAACTGCCAGGTCCAGGTGTCATGAGACCCCTTTCTACAAATCCAGGCATCAGCACTCCTTGTATTGAGTTAAAGAGAAAGACTTATAAGAGGGAATGTAGAACGAAGAACATTTTAACAGTGAAAGAACAGGAGATCGGCTCCAATGAAGTCGCCGTCTCTTTCCCGAAATACTTGTCTTCCTGAAGACAACGGTACTGCGCAGACAAGAGATTCTCAGCTATTCTGAGGTGGGGCATCTATCGCTTTATTTTTTAATTTTATTTATATTTGGCTGCATTGCTGCGCATGGGCTTTCTCTAGTTGTGGCCAGCGGGGGCTACTCTTCGTTGCGGTGGACGGGCTTCTCATTGCGGTGGCTTCTCTTGTTGTGGAGCATGGGCTCTAGGCACATGGGCTTCAGTAGTTGCAGTACGTGGGCCCAGTAGTTGGAGCTCGTGGGCTCTAGAGCACTGGCTCAGTAGTTGTGGCACATGGGTTTAGTTGCTCCACGGCATGTGGGATCTTCCCGGACCAGGGATCTAACTTGTGTCCTTGGCATTGGCAGGCGGATTCTTAACCACCGCACCACCAGGGAAGTCCCCATCTATCGCTTTAAGAATCATAAGGATGTGCCTGAAACATCGACACTGAAAATGACTAGACTGGAGAGAGGGCTAAAGATTCTCAAATGAGGGGGTGATCCCCTTGACATCACAGCTTCTCCTGGGACAGGTCGACAGGAAGCTCCAGACCTCCCCCATCAGCCCATTTTCCTTTTGAATGGGCCGGCTGGCCGTACAAAGCATGCACAGATTGAACCATTTGAGTCCAAAGAGTCTACTTTAGACTCAAACCTGCACCCCTTTCATGCCTGTCCATCATCCTTGTTCTGTCCTGGGCACCCTCACCAACTGAGATCCTTTCCAAATTCTCTTTTCCAGGGTGAATATGCCCAGTCCCTTTGACTCTTCCTTCCTAGATGGTTATGCAACTAACTCTTGGGCATCATCTCCTGTGGGTAAACTCCTTGCATTAAAGTGGAAGGGAGAGGGAATTCCCTGGCGATCCAGTGGTTAAGACTCTGCACTTTCACTGCCATGGGCACGGGTTCGATCCCTGGTTGGGGAACTAAGATCCTAAGATCCTGCAAGCTGGCCAAAAAAAAAAAAAAAGGGGGGAGGGAGATGAGCAGTTGCATCCAGCCAACGAATTAAGGGGAGCCTGTGCTGACTATATTTTCTCTTACCCAACGCCTCGCCAGAGGAGAATACAGAGAGACAAGTATCTCAGCAGTGGGCACACACAGCTTGCTTTCTACAATTTTGAATTCGTACCAATGACCGTCATCCATTCACCCAATATCCACTGAGCATCAGCTGTATGCCTGTGATCAAACCAAAGGCCCCTGCTCTCGTGGGTTCCATGGTGGGGAACAGACTGTAAACAAGTATGTGAAATACTCAGCATATTCAATCGTATAAAGCCCGAGCGCCTAGAGCCCATGCTCCGCAACAAGAGAAGCCACCTCAATGAGAAGCCCGCACACCACAATGAAGAGTAGCCCCCACTCGCCGCAACTAGAGAAAGCCCGCGCGCAGCAACGAAGACCCAACGCAGCCAAAAATAAATAAATAAAAAATAAAAACAACAACAACACGACACATATGTATTTTCTTACGAATCTAGACAAAGAAGTCTGAAATCAGTTTCACCGGCAGGGCTGGTGCCTCCTGGAGGCTCTGGGGGAGAATCTGTTTCCATGCCTTTTGTTTTGTTTTGGCTGCGCCGGATCTTAGTTGCGGCACGCGGGATCTTCATTGCCACATGCGGGATCTTTAGCTGTGGCATGAGGGATCTAGTTCCCTGAACAGGGACCGAACCCGGGCCCCCTGCATTAGGAGTGCAGAGTCTTAACCACTGAACCGCCAGAGAAGTCCCTGCCGCAGGGCTTTTAAGGGGTATGACAGGGTCCCTCTGGCTGCTGCAGGTAAAAACACGCTGTTACCTGAATTCATGGGAACCCAGGTAAGAATATTGTAACTGCCCATGAGATGGTTTTAGAAGAATGTTTAGAATTCTTATGATAGTGTGGGAATGAGAGCTATTTTGGCACTTTGGGCAGGGATGAGCGGGGTAGGGAGGTGGGAAATCAATCTTAAATAATTCAGCAAATATCAATTATGCTCTTGGCCCGGTCAACTGGGGTGTCTCTGCCTCACACCTGGGAGCAGCATCGGGCCCACTCCTTCCACGTCTGACACGCACACCTAGGGAGCTGTACCTGGGCAGAGTTTCGTCCTGCCATTCTTCCTTCACGTCCACGTTTTCCATCCGGAGCGTGGCTTCAGTGGTCCCCATGGGAGCTGGAAAGCAAGGACCGACTTGAAGCAAGGATGAATCCTGAAGGAGGGCAGTGGATGGAGGTTTTACTGGACAATCATCATAACGACAATTCCCCACTCACACACAGAACTTCAGAGGTGGATCTGCAAAGAGCTCTTGTGTCCATTGTCTTATTGAATCATTGCCCAGCCCCATGAGGCTTCTCCATTTCACCAGTGAGAAAACAGAGGCATAGAAAGCTGAACACCCATGTGGGTCTGGAGTTTGAAACCAAAGGAGGGGCTGAGCCTCCAGCTAAAAGCACCCCCCCTTGGAAGCTCTGAAATCCATCCTCTGCAAGGTTCACCATCCCTCCCTTACCTTGGACTTCAACTAGGAAGCAATAAATCCAATTAAAGTCATTTAGTGTTAATGACTGATATAATTAAGCTTCCTTGCTGGGATTGACATTCAGACAAGACCTGGTTAATGCCAACCCACCTCTATCTGCTGCAGCCCACCTGTCCCCTCCCCTCCCCCAACGAAGAAGCAAGTCCTGACAACTGACCCTAGGACTGAAAAAGGAAGTGTGGAAAGTGCCTGGGGCTGGAAATCAGGATCATCATTTGTACCAACCACAAAATGCCAGTTTTGTTTTTATCGTAGCCAGGAAACAGCTGGGGGCAAGGATGGGGTGGAGGCAGCACTTTAGGTGGGGCTTGAGTGCTGGGCTGTCTGGGAGTGTGGTGAGAACTGCTAAGGGGGACTGAATTTGGGTCTACCCTGGGGCATGGCAGACTTTCGCTGTCTCAATTTCCCTGCCTGTAAATGAAAGAATTGGTCTAGAAAGGATCTCTATGATCCCTTTGGGCATAACCCCCAGGATCTTATGACTCAACTAATAGTGCAGGTTCTGAGCTTTTAAGCCAGTGGTTCTCAACTGGCGATGATTCTGCCTTCCCCCACCAGACATCTGGCAATGTTTGGAGGCATTTTGGGTTGTCACAAGTGCGGGGGTGGAGGTGGGGGGAGGGGGGCGGTGTGCTACTGACATCAAGTGGGTGGAGACCAGGGATGGTGCTCAGTTCCTTACAATGCCCCAGATGGTACCCCATGACCAAGAATGATCCGGCCCCAAATGTCCATAGATCTGAGATTGAGAAGTTGTCAACCTCACTTGCCAGCACCTAAGGTCCCGCCTCCAGCCCCACCCCCCTCCCCACTCACTGCGGCTGCCCCTCTGGAGCTGGTGGGTGGCTCTTAGTTTGGGTGTGTCTTCCAGAGACCCTCGCTGGACCTAAGCCCCTGTGGATGGAGGGTCTGCATTTGGGATTGGGGCTCAGAGGGAGCGGGAGACAGGTGAGGGCCAGGCAGGGGGGACGGGATGTCTGAAATTCGACCCTCCCCCACTTCAGTGAGAGTTTCTCACTCCATTCTTGTCACTGCCCTGAATGTCGTCATTCATTCATGGAGGAGGGAAAGTAAGACGCAGTACGGAAAAGAGAGAGAGAGAGAGATGTCTTCCTGATGCTGTGGGCAACAACTGCCCAGGAACTTACTGCAAGGGAAAGTTCCCATCAATGGAAATTCATTTCCTTTCTGAAGGGAGTGGTCTTTGCGTCCGTTTTCCTTATCCTGAGCTGGGTGTGACCTCAACCCCCAGAAAGGACCACCCACCTCCACCCCACCCACAGCTGAGACTGGGGCCACACATGTTGGCCCAACGATCCTCTAAATGAGGGGTGTGGGTGGGTGACCGCAGGGCCCCGGACGCTCCCGCCCTCTGATCCCGACTTCACGTTCGAGGACGGCAAATAAGGCAGAGGGGGAGCTGAGAGGCGTGCCTTCCCGCTGTGGTGCCGAATTATCAGCACATCACATACAAGTTCAGACAGAGGAGGAGGAATCTCTATCTTCAACTATTTCCCTTCCTCCCCACCCCATAGGCAAGCTTTTACGTACACATCTATCAAATCCTTTTCCAAATCCGCTCACGGCGTTATAAATAGGAAATGCACAGAGGTGGGACGTGTACATTTCGGTCTCTCAGGAAGCGTCCCAGAGAGGGGCTGAGGGTTTGAGCTGCCTAATCTCTAAGCACGTCCCGGAAATGGTGCAATCCTCTGCCATCCAGGTGAACGGTGGGCATGGGAGGTGAACTGTGGGGGTGTGTGTGTGGGGCGGATGCTTTTCTCAGCGTGGGGTAAAATGGAGCTGGTAGCATCCCAAGAATCACAAGACCCTGGTTCTCTGCTCCCACCCGCCCCATCTGCCAGAAGGGGGTTTGTAGCAGCAGATACCTGCGGACAATCTTCCTCGGCAGGGCGGGGAGAAAGAAAGTGGATTCACCTCCGCGTGAGTCCCGGCTACCTCCGCGGCCTCTCCCGGTTACGCGCAAACAAAGAAGAGCCTTGGGCGGATGCAGCCGGGCATCCCTCCCCTTCAGAGCATCCGAGGAAGATGCACTCTGGCGCGGACTCCGCATCCAAGGAAGGTCACCCAGGGCAATGCGACGGGCGCGGATGGGCGCTTTTGCCCACGGGTGGGGAACAGCTTGCAGTCAGCGGTCGGCTCCCCCTCGCTCGGCTGCGGCTGCGTCCCTGGTCCTCGTGCCTCCGAGGTATTTTCTTCTTGCCAGCTCGCAGCTGGCGGAGGCTCGGCTTCCTTAAGACAGTTAATTATGCTGCTTTTGTGTGCAGGGTGGGTGGATGGGGGCAGGGCTGACCAAAAAGCACAGCCCCCTGCCAGAATCGGTGCTCTCCATTGGCTGAGAGGGGAGCATTTCCAAGCGCCTCACCAGGGGCAGAAGCGGAAATGATTTCCTGATGGCGCATCACAGATTTAAAAACAAAACAAGGAACAAATAAATAAGTGGCAGCGATGGCCTCATTCCTTAGATTAAGAGGGAGGGAGGAAATAATATCCTCATGGACCCATTTCATGGGTCCCTCAGCCGACCACTTACGATGAGCCATGGGCCGAAGACCGGGCTGGGTGCTGGGGAGACAGAACCTTCTCAGACACATTCGCTCGGGGCCTCCGAGGGAAGGGCGCCCCCTGCAGGTGTGCGTGCGTCAGCCCCGCCCTGGAAGACCATAGAATGGTATAGAGTTAAGAGTGCACCCTCTGAAATCAAACCATAAGTGGATCGGGACACTGGCTCAGCCACTAGCTGGGGACTTGGTTGGGTAAGTGATCATACTTCCTGGACCTCAGTTTCCTCATCTGTGAAATGGAAACATTAGGGTACTGGCCTTTCGGCATTTAATGAGGTGATGCAGGGAGGGTGCTTGGCACAGTGCCGCAGCATGAGAAAAGTTATATGCGTGTTTTTTGCTGTTGCTGTTTTTATTTTTAGACTGGTAGCAGGTTGAATGGTGCCCCCCCCCCACCACCAAAGATATGTCCATGTCCTAACCCCTGGAACTTGTGAATGTGACCTTATTTGGAAAAAAGGGTCTTTGCAGATGGAATTAAGTTAAGGATCTCCAGATGAGATCATCCTGGATTTAAAATGTGCCCTAAATCCCATGACAAGTGACTTCATAAGAGAAGAGAAGGGGAGGGCACATCATGTGAGATCAGAATGATGCATCGACAAGCCAAGGAATAGGGAGGGTTGCCAGTGACCACCGGAAGCTGGAGAGGCACCAAATGGATTCTCCCTCGCAGCCCCCAGAAGAAGCCAGCCCTGCCAATACCTTGATTTCAGACTTCTGGCCTCCAAAACTGTGAGAGAAAAAAAAAAAAAGCTGTTGTTTTGAGCCACCTAGTTCGTGGTACCTTGTTATGGCAGCCACAGGAAACTAATATCAATACATGATCCTAAGTAGGAATGGATTCCTGTTGTTACCTCCTGCTCCTCTTAATCACTGTGATGGTTTTCGCCTGTTCCGTGAATACATCAGGCTCATTCCCACCACAGGGCCTTTGCACAAGCTGCTCCCTCTGCCAGGTATGCTCTTCCCCCAGATGTTTGCATTATTCAGGTGTCAGCTCAGAAGTAATCTCCTCAAAGAGGCCTTTCCTAATCTCACCGCCTACCTTGCCTCTCACTCCATCATCTTCCATCCCATTATCTAGTCTGATTTGTTTTTCAGTTTAAAAAAAATTTTTGTTTCTTTTTTACTGTGGTAAAATACACATAATGTAAAATTTACCATTTTAACCATTTGAAAGTGTATAGTTCAGTGACATTAAGTACATTCAGTGTTGTGCCACCATCAGCACTGTCTAGTTCCAGAACTTTTTCATCACCCCAAATGGAAACCCGTACCCATTAAGCAGTCTCTTACGTCTCCCTTCCCAGCCCCTGGCAACCACTAATGCACTTTCTGTCTCTGTGGATTTGCCTGTTCTGGATGTTTCATATAAATGGAATAATCTACTATTCCATCTTTTGTGTCTGGCTTCTCTCACTGAGCATAATTTTTCAAGGATCATCCACATTGTGATGTGTGTCAGTGCTTCATTCATTTTTATGGCTGAATTCATATATATCATTGTATGCATGTGCTACTTTTTGTTTATTCATTCACCAGTGGATAAACAAAAAGTGTTTCTACATTTTGGCTGTTGTGAATAGTGCTGCTATGAACATGGGTGTACATGGTTTTATTTGAATCCCTGTTTTCAGTTCTTTGGGGTATATACCTGGGAGTGGCAATGCTGCGTCATACACTAATTCTATGTTTATGGTATTGAGGAACCTGATGAGTCTTTTTTCATAACACTTACCACTATTTGAGATTATTTACTTGTTTCTTTGTTTATTCTAGGACACCCGCCCCCATTGGAATAGAAATTTCAAAAGAGACTTGGTTGGTTTTGTACACTGTAATGTGCCAGGGCAGTAGCACGCATCACAAAGGAGATGTTCGGGAAATGCAGGTAGAATGCACAGACGCTGGCTCCCCTTGTGGGTCTCAGACAACACTCTATTCACGTGGCTACCCCACTCACTGCATCAGGGTCGGTCCCCCTCCAAGCCAAAGGCATAGAGGCAACCGCCCTAGGCAGGGAAGGAGAGCCCAGAGACTCCACAAGATTTGGACTTTGCACCTCTTGTCTGGAGGATGTGGCGCTCTGGGAAGAGACACTGAGCAGGAAATCCAGGTTCGTTCTAGTACTGGGCACTGGGGTCCGAAACTTGAGTAAGACTTTGCTTTCGTAGAACTCCCACTCGGAGAAGCAGATGGGCAAGGGAGTCTGGGCTGACATCTTTGGAGCAGAGTGGCTTGGGGGGCACATGGGGAGATTTCTCAGAGTGGGGCAGGGGTGGTGACTGTGTGGGTTGGGCGCTGAGGAGTGAGTAGGAGTTGGATGGGTGAAGAAGGGGGAGAAAAGCATTTGGAACAGAAGGACATTTGTAAAGCAGCAGCTCTTCCTCCCTGAGAGTGCGCTGGGAGCTGTCCGTGGTGCTGCAGCCCTCCACCGAGCCGCTGCAGGAACCAAGATTGGCTCTCGTCTGGTTTATCGTTAATGGTGGTTATATATATTAATATATACGTATAACATAAAGTTTGCCATTCTAATCATTTTTTCTTTTTTTTTCTTTTTTTTTTTTTTTTT